GAGGGTTTCTATTTTCTGTTCATTTTTGTTTGTTTGTTTTGTTTTAATCACCCATCAGCCAATCTGTGTATCTTAACTGGAGAATTCAATACATTCACATTCAATGTTATCGATATTTCTGGACTTGTTCCTTTCATTAAGTGAGCCATTTTCTTGGTTGTTTTTGGTTCTAACAGTCCTTTTGACTTTTTAGTTTTCCTGGTATAGCACTCCCTTCAGAACCTCTTTTAGAGCTGGTCTGGAGTTGGTAAATTCTTTCAGGTTTCGTTTCTCTGAGAATGTTTTTATCTTTTTTTCCCATATGAAAGATAATCTTGCCGGGTATAGTATTCTTGGTTGAAATTGTTTTTCATTCAACACTTAGACTATATTTCCCCATTCTTTCCTTGCCTGCATTGTTTCCAATAAGAGGTCTGATGTTAGCCTGATGGGGTGACCTTTATAAGTAACTTGATGTTTCCCTCTTGCTAATTTTAGTATCTTGTCTTTGTTTTTGCCAATCTGGCCATGATGTGCCTTGGTGAGGATCTCCTTGGGGTTGGATGTATTTCTTGGGTCTGAATATTTGAATGCCTTTGTAGGTTGGGAAAGTTTTCTTCCAACATTTCATGAAATAAACTATCAATGCCCTTATTATTTTCTTACTCTTCTGGGATACCAATTATCCAGATGTTGGGGTGCTTGATGGTGTTTGGTATTCCTTGTATATTATCCTCATTTTTCTTGGTTGTTTTCTCAGTCTTCTTAATACTTTTTTCTAGGTCAGAGTTTTTGTCTTCTGCATTCGAGATTGGATCTTCTCTGTGATCTAATCTACTTTTAGTACTTCGAGGGAGGTTTCAATTTCCTGTATCACAGTCTTCATTCCTAACAGTTCCATCTGATTCTTTTTTAAGGTGTCTATTTCTTCTTTCAAATCATGAAAGGGCTACCTCATCTCCTGAAGCACATTGTCTCTTTTCTTTTGCATCTCAGTTTGGTCACTACAGATATTTTAAATTGCTTATCTGACATGTCCACGACGTCCATTGTGTTGTCGGTGGGTGATGTGGGATTGATGTTTTCCCTTGGGAGAGAGACATTTTGTTAGTTTCTTGTGCCTCTGTGATTGTTCCTAGTCGCATGGTGGTCTATACGTTCCTTCCTAACTTATTCAGGGTACCTTTGAGTGTTCAAAGTGTGCAGGAGTAACAAATTGGTGATCTCTCTTCTGATATGCCTCCTTGTTGCTCAGCAGTACCCTCTACTGTGGTCACAGGTCCTGGGTGACCAAAAGTCCTCCCTGTTTCTAAAGATTGACGAACCGCCAATTGAGCTAATGAATTTCACCGCAGGAGCAAGTAAAAGATCGCATGTGTGCTATTCAAAACACAGAAGTTCTGAGAGCCCAAAGGCTAGTTGGGGGTGGGGAGGATGAGCCATGGGTCCTGGCCACAGGCAGCCTGGTGTCTAGCAGTGCCTCTTGACTGGTCTCTGGATGGGGGGAACGTGGGGGGGAGGCGCAAGCTCATCTTAAAGTCCTAAGACACAAATCTGAGGTCCAAAGGTGAGTGTGGGAGGGGATAAGCCATGGGTCCAGGCCACTAGGGCCTGCAGCCACAGGCTGCCAACCTTTTTTTTTTTTTTAAAAAAAAAACAAAAAAAACCTTTGTTTTAATTTGACCACAGATGGACAGAGTCCTCATGTGAGAGAGAGAAAGTGAGAAAACCAGCTGCCAGGTCGGGGATTTGAACCAAGGATGGCCATGTGGGAGTCCAGCACCCTTTACCACCACTCTACCTGCCAGCTCCAATGCTGATCCTTTTATCTGATGCTCATGTGCATCATTTGAAAGTTGGAGAATACCATATTGCGCATGTTGATGGTGTCTTGACTGACAGCATGGAGTATTAGAAAACCTTCCCCCTCACTGACTGCCTCAATAGATGAAAATCCCTAAAATCATATATACATTCTTGCTCTAGATTTTCACCCACCACTATAACAAAATGACAAATGATGGCACTTTCGAAGGAGAATGATTAGAATATTGAGAAAAAATACTGAGTTAATTGCTATCTGAGCTAATCTCATTGCCCTCGCACAAAAGATTTAATGTTTGATCATTTCTATTTGACAGAGGCTTTGCTCCATCCCTACATTTAGGGAACCCTAGGATGCAACGGACTGTAACAGATGTAGTCCACAGTGTCTTCCTTAGGGGGGTGGTATTTGTGTTTGCACATCATAAATTCCTTAACTTTAAAGTTGACCATACTATGTATATATGTACAGCATTAAATAAGAAATCCTGTTTATTTTTTAAGGTGAAGGTGGTAATATATTTACTCCACCCTAATGCTCTTCTGGTATTTGTCTTTCTCTACAGGGCCAGATGGTTTCTGTTTTAACTTGTATTAACAGTTTATTACTGTTGGTACCTTGAGGTTTCCTCCTTTTAGCCTTGGCAATATTTTGCCAACTTGTTTTTGGGATACACTTCATCTAGCATTTTAATGTGTTGGAAGCAGGGAACTGAAGCGGAGCAAGTTATCCACTAATGCCATCTCAGCCCATCATGGTGTCAGAGGTCTGAGAGATTCTTTATTCTAAACCCATATTAAAACCTTTTTCACATTCCAGAATTATCAGATTTTGTTACACATTCAGATCATCTTCAGGGTGCATGCATATATATACACCTTTGTGCAATTCCATAGTGTTAAGTTATGCTAAACCATAAAAGTTTTTTTTACAGACATGGACTCTCCCCCCTGGTTATACATACTACATAGCAGTTTTGGTATAATTTAGAGATCTAGAGTATTAAATAATAAACTTTTAGGTTTGTTTCATTATATCTTTTTTTTTTCGGACAGGTTTTTGCTAAAGGGTACGTGCGCATGCCAGACAGACAGAGACAGACAGAGAGATAGAAAGCGAGAAATCACCCCCCAGGGGGGTTGGCCACACTGCAATCCCTTCTCCTCCATTCTCCTCTCAGGATCTTGGGCATGCAGGCACATGCGCCCAGCGTGAGTTTTAAGCCACCGGGTCCGGGACGCGAACCGCGGTCGACTACATGGGAGTCCAGCGACATAGCCATTACGCTAACTGCTGGTCCCTGTTAAATTATATCTTTTATTTTTTTAATTTTTTTTATTTTTTAATTTATTCATTTTCCACATTAATTCACTATACACCATCACAACACACAAATGAATTTTCCATCCCAAATGCACTGTGCATTGGTTCAATCAAGCACATCAACATACATGTTCTCAGCAAAATAATTTTCCAATTCTTATGTCCTGCATACCTTGCCTTTTGTTTTGCCATCCTTGATTCCCCATCCCCCACCTCCTCCCCCATTGTCCCTGGCATCCCCGGCTGCCCTCCATGCCCCCCCCCATTCAATTGTTCTGCCAATGAACTTAATTAGTCTAAATATATCCAATAGCTCGAACAGC